ACACCCAGGGTGTGAGAACTTTCAAGTGGTCGAGATTTAACCAGCATGGTCAAGCAATTCACCATGATTGCAATATCAATCAACCAAATGATTTTAAGACCAATTTAATAAAAAAAATCGACCACATCAGGTTCTAGCAATCAAAGTCCATAGAGAATGATTCAAGCAACCTATGAATCTAGCATTCGACCTCAATGTCGTGCTGATAACGTGTTAAAGAATAAAGAAGGTTGTAACTCTCATTGTATTATTAATCACGTGGTTACACATATATATATACATACAAGAGAATAAAGCATTCAACATAAATAACTTGATAAAAATAAGCAAGCAAACGGATCAAAGCAAGCAAAGATTTCGAGTTCATCAATTAGGGTTTTAGTTTAACTTTTGTTCATGAATACAAGTTTGTATCCATGTACATAGTTAGGCTTTTTAGGGGTTTAATTTTACTTCTCAAACATACCAAAACATCATAGTTTTAAGGGGGTCGAAACTTATGTTTAAGAGTTTAAGTTTCATACCTCAAATCTCCTTGTTTTTGAATGGACCTCCATTAGGGCAAAACCGGTTTGGATCTTAGGAGAGAGAGAGATTGAATCACTTTAATCTTTTAGCTAAGGCTTTACACCTGCAAAAGAATAGTTAGCAAGGGATTTCTTCTTCAAAATAACTTAATAAATTAAGGAAGAAATAAGGTGAAAGTCGTTTGAGTAAGAGAGAAGTTTCTAGGGTTTCCCGGATTGGAAAAACAGAAATTTAGCCGCCGTCTGGTTTTGNAGCATATTCCTTAGGAGATAAGGATTGCTACAAATAAAGGGGATGATTATCCTAATCCTATAATGATTAGGATAACTACAACATATGGATAAATACAAAGGAGGATAATGACAAGTCTTGGCCGCCTAGTCTTGGGACTGAAGTAGACTGATGTGGTCTGGTCCATTTCCGGATATGTCCCAACCACCATTTCTTAACAAATTTTGAGTTTTCTAGAAAATGTTTAATACTTGGTCAAAATTTTATCACCTTGCTATGACTAGTCGATAATATTGTCTCATTATTTCAAGCTAGTTAACTTATTGAACATAAATAGAAAGCTTTATTGGAAAAAAATAAAATAAACTTTTTTTTTGGTGAAAACATATATAAGTATTGAAGATTGGTCAGCTACCTTCGTGTCTTTCAAATATCTTTTTCCCCATTAGAAGTATATAACATCCACACGCAAATTTAAAATTTCTCATACTTTCTATTACAAGTTCAACGAAACGATCCATCCATATTATATAACACACAAACGTAGATAATCATATATACACAGACAGAGAAACACGCAGATAGATACTAATGGCGACGGATCGGTTCATTGTTGAGGTTGAGAAGGGAAAAGAAGGCGTCGATGGAGGAAGTCCATCTGTCGGTTCGGTTTACCGGAGTATCTACGCCAAAGACGGTTTTCCTGAACCGGCCGATGATCTCCTCAGTTGCTGGGATATTTTCCGGTTTGATATAATCTTTTCTCTAGCTAGCACATGGGACAAACTATCAAAGACCCACCTGTTTGACTTCACTGATTTATTCATTTTTATGAATTTCTTGGTTGTTACATTATTTCATCTTAATGTTATATTACAAGTTTTGAAGTTTTTCTGGTGAAATTTTTTGGGTGTAAATTTCAGTCTCTGAGTTCTTGGTGATGTTTTTGTAATTATCTTCAAATTCGTGGTAAATTCTTTCTGTGTTTATTTTCTTTTTTGGTGAACATTGATATTAATAACAATAACAAAAATACTTTTCCAGAAACTGTTGCCTTTGTGCCTCTGTTATAGGCTATTATTTAATTGATATTAAAAACAAAAATGCTCGTTGTTAATTTTTTTTTTTTTTGTTACAGCTTATCTGTGGAGAGATCTCCAGATAATCCCATGCTCGGTCGTAGAGAAATTGTTGATGGAAAAGTAAGAAATCAGCAACTTATTATGTATTCAACTTTTAATCAGAATAATTATTTCACACAACTCGTGATTTGTTCCAACACAGGCTGGGAAATATGTATGGCAAACTTACAAAGAAGTATATGACATAGTGATCAACCTTGGCAACTCTATCCGGACTATTGGAGTTGGAAAAGTAATTAGTCTCCACAACATTTTTGACTTATATACAAGTAAATGCATCTACCTAGAGTTTCTCAATTACCTTAACTTTGTTGTTTTTGTGATCCCCAGGGAGAGAAATGTGGTATTTATGGCGCCAATAGTCCTGAATGGATTATGAGCATGGAGGTAATACGAGAGTAACACATTATAATGATTGAGCTTTAATATATAACTGTAGTTACCAGAAACTGGGTTTATGAAACAGTAATAAATCTAGTTTCAAAAAAAAAAAGTAATAAATCTAGTTTCAAAAAAAAAAGTAATAGATCTAGTTTTTAGAAAACGTTTTATGAATGTCGCCACGTAAACCCAAAGTTTTTTTATATAATGATTTTAGGCTTGCAACGCTCATGGACTCTACTGTGTACCTCTGTATGACACTCTTGGTACGTACATAAATTTGTTTTCTTATAGAAATGATTTGAGACATTGATTTTCCATTACAAGCAATGTCATCTATATATGTATAATACTTTTTGGATCACCGAAGCTGACACTTTGGTCATGAGTTAGGTGCTGGAGCAATAGAATTCATCATTTGTCATGCTGAGGTTTCACTTGCTTTTTCTGAGGAGAAAAAGATTTCTGAGGTAACTTGTTATTGTTCAGTGGTTTGATTAGGTTATAAGATCATGCAAAATCTCCATTAGCTAATAATCAAACGTTTTTTTTCTTTGTGGGTTCCTCTTTTTGGATGTTTCAGTTATTGAAGACAGCTCCAAATTCAACTAAATATTTGAAGAGTAAGCTCTTTTTGAGTTTTGAGTCTGAGATGAAAGTTAGTGAATGAAAAAAATCCTAATTTCTTTGTTGGGACAGATATTGTGAGCTTTGGGGAGGTTTCAACTTTGCAAAGAGCAGAAGCTGAGAGGCACGGGTTATCTATATATTCATGGGACCAATTCTTGAAGCTTGTAAGAGAATCACATATATGTATTTTTACGATTCTACTTTTCATATAAATAATATTCTTGATTCTGAAATGTTTATGTGTTTTATGTTACTTGCAGGGTGAGGGTAAACATTATGAGTTACCGGAGAAGAAAAGAAGCGACATTTGCACTATAATGTATACAAGTGGCACAACTGGTGATCCTAAAGGAGTCTTGCTCACAAATGAGAGCATTATTTATCTACTTGAAGGTGTTAAAAAGTTGCTTAAAACTATCAATGAAGAGGTAACTTATTGTTGTTTATATATATATATATATATATATATATATCAAGAACAAATCATTTTGATAAACTCTTCTTTGTTTCATATGTGAAAAATTGTTACAGTTAACCAGTAAAGATGTTTACCTCTCATATCTACCTCTGGCTCATATATTCGATCGCGTGATGGAGGAGTTATGTATATATGAAGCAGCCTCCATAGGATTTTGGAGAGGGGTAAGTTATAAATTTGTTTCTTTTCGTTACAGAATTTGTTTCATAATGGACTTAAATCATATTTATCCATATGTTCAGGATGTTAAGATTTTGGTTGAAGACATTGCTGCTTTGAAACCAACTATTTTCTGCGCTGTTCCTCGTGTGCTAGAGAGGATATACAACGGTAAATACTTTGCTCTAGGCTAGTTTTCAAAGAACTTGAGAAACATTATTCTTAACTGTTCTTCTCTGTTTATGTCAATTATCAGGTCTTCAGCAGAAACTTTCTGATGGTGGTTTCTTAAAGAAGGCCTTATTTAACTTTGCCTTCAACTGGTAAGTATTATCATTTTCTTTTTCTTCTTTTTTTTCTTTTATTTTTTTTAGTATTATCATTTTCAGATTACAAAGCAATGTTTTATGATTTTAAACTCTGCCTTTTAAACCCTTTGATGCTTTTCCCAGCAAACATAGTAGCATGGTGAAAGGGAAGCCTCATGAACAAGCAGCTCCAATCTTTGACAAAATTGTATTTAAGAAGGTGAAATTAAAATGAAATATATATATGTATATCCACATTCTCTTGATCTTGAATCTTTTGATTGTTGGAATAAATAACAAATCTTGAACATGTAAATTATTTCAGGTAAAAGAAGGATTAGGAGGAAGAGTGCGTCTAATACTCTCAGGAGCAGCTCCTCTTGCAGCTCACATCGAATCTTTCCTTAGAGTCGTCGCATGTGCTCATGTTCTCCAAGGATACGGTAAGAACAAAGAATGTTAATTAAAACAAATCCAAATCATGGTCTTAATAATAAAATATTATGCAGGTCTAACGGAGACTTGTGGTGGGACATTTGTGTCGATTCCAAATGAGCTTCAAATGCTTGGAACGGTTGGTCCACCGGTTCCAAACGTTGACGTAAGGCTAGAGTCAGTTCCAGAGATGGGTTACGACGCTCTTGCTAGCAATCCACGTGGAGAGATTTGCATAAGAGGAAAGACTTTGTTCTCTGGTTACTACAAACGTGAAGATCTCACTCAAGAAGTCCTCATTGATGGATGGCTTCACACTGGCGATATCGGTGAGTGGCAACCAGATGGAGCCATGAAAATCATAGACAGGAAAAAGAACATATTTAAACTGTCACAAGGAGAATACGTTGCGGTTGAGAACTTGGAGAACATTTACAACCACGTAGCCGCAATTGAATCAGTAATGGGCAATCCAGCTAATGTTTATTTTTTATTGGTTCTATAGAAACTGATGTGTTGAAACATTATGCAGTTATGGGTATATGGAAACAGCTATGAGTCATACTTAGTGGCTGTGATATGTCCAAGCAAGATACAGATCGAACATTGGGCTAAAGAACACAATGTTTCAGGAGACTTTGAGACTATCTGTCAAAACCAAAAGACCAAAGAGTTTATCCTTGGAGAGTTCAACAGAATAGCCAGAGACAAAAAGGTTTGTAATTTATTCATTAGTCCTTTTAATTCTTGTTTTGTTTTCTTACAATAATCCTTAACTAAGAAAATTCTGGGGTTTCTTTATTATATATATTTACAGCTAAAGGGATTTGAGCTGATAAAAGGAGTTCACTTGGACACAGTCCCATTCGACATGGAAAGAGATCTCATCACACCTTCCTACAAGAAGAAAAGGCCTCAGCTTCTCAAGTACTATCAGGTAAATTAGAAGTCACTTTTCACATAAACAAGGCTACATAATGAAACTTTACAGATATCTATAATCTTAATGATGATGTTTCCGGCATTGATGGATTGAATTGTCTTAACCTCTGTTCTTGTTTACGCAGAAAGAGATTGATGAAATGTATAACAAGAAGAACTGAAGACAGTGTGAAGAAGGAATTTGTTGGAAAAGTTTCAGGTTTTAAATTTATCTGTTTGTTATATGTCTCTTTGTTGTGTTACAATCCAAGTTGCTTGTGTCATAAGTTTTTTTTCTGTTTGTAAACAAAAAGATATCTGCCTTTTTGTACTGAACATGCTCTCTCCCTATATTCTGTGTATTTGTATTTTATGTTGTGATAAAATTCTCCCTGTTTAAGTTTTACCAGCTTCTTATTAGTAGATTTATTAATTGGTAAAATAGATTAATTATACCAAACCACTGCATTGGTGAGTTAATATATTGTAGAAAATAAAAAACTTGGGGTGGGGGAAGACAGTTCCAAGTGATGTCAGTTTTTTAATACGAGTTTTCATTTGGCTTATTTCATATTTTAAATGTATCTATTTATGGAAGACAAACAAAACATGTCATAAGATGAGAAAAGAAATACATTTGAATTGAGGAAGAAAAGGTTCAGAGTAACTAAATACTAAAATTCATCATCTTAGTCTTATTTCAAAACATGTTTACTTTTTAACTTTACTATTTCACAGATTAGTATTAGTAAATTTCAAAGTATGCCCTCAATTACTTAGCACAACACAAGTTGATAATCATATCACATTTCATTCAAGGACTGTTGTTGAGTTTAACAACTGACCACCAAGAAAGATAAAAACACAAAAGGACAAAGACATACACATGTTTTTTGAGCTACACGGAATGAAAAAACAAATCCTTGCAACATCTCACAAAACACTATCTTTTTTTTTCTATCTTCCCCTCTCTCTCTCTCACTATATATATAATTTAAAAAGCATTGAACTTGGGAGTAGAAAGAGGATGAGCACTTTCACTCTTCTTCTAAATTTTCCGAAGAGTCTTTCACTGTCTCTTCACACCTTTCTTCAACCCTTCTTCAACCCCATTTTATATTCACCCGAAAAAAGCAAAAGAAAGATTAAAAAAAAAAGACCAAACCTTGAACGTTCTTGACGGACCAGACTGAAAAACCAACACTTTCTTCTTCTTCTCACTACCTATACACACTGTTTTCTTTTGAAGTAGTTGTTGTCCGATCAAGCCAACGTGTAGCTTGAAACCGCGACATTTGCGGGGGAAGTTGAGTGAATGTAGACGAACTCTAGGGACTTTCCGGATTGCAATGAATGCATCCACGAAGGTAACCCGAATGAGTTTCCTGATCTCGAGAGTCCCCAGATTGGTCCGTAGAGATTCTTGATCGAAAGGTTGAGGCTTTTCAGAGCTCTTGGTGATTTGTTAATCACAGTTGTTGAGTATCTGTAGTAAGTCCTTCCCTTTGATACCCATGAACCTGTCATCTTCTGAACTATAGCCACTGGACCCGAAGCTGCACAAAGTCATCAACACACAGTCAAGTCTCTGTTCAATAGACACACACATCACAAGTAGACAAACTAACACAAGAGCATACCTCGGACAGGGGAAGTCACTCTCGGTTTACGAATAGGCATTGGTCTTCTAACAACAACAGGAGCAGGAACCGCTGCAGGGAGATAACGAAATAAATAAACTATTTGAGTTTAATTATTCTTGTTGAGGATATATATTAGAATGTGTTGAATCTCAGACACAAACCTGGAAGAAGCTGGCTGTAACCAGAATGACCACTGCTGAGACGAGCAAGAACACCGAGAAGTGGTGCATTGTTGTAAGTAGCAGGCTCAGTCTGCTCATAGTTATCTCTCCTGTCAGCGAAATTATCGTAAGCATCAGGACCGCCGACAATAGCACCGGTGAGGAGGTTGGGATCACTGCCTTTACTGCTGAACCATTTGGCATAACCACCACGGCAAGTGACGAAAGTGCGGTCAACCTTGTAAGAAACGATGGAGGAGCCTCGGTGGTGAACTCTCTGAGGGAAATTGTTACCATATCCAACCATGTAGCTAGTAGCTCTTGGGTTGTCTCCAAGAATATAATCAACCTGAGATTTAGCAAAGGAAAGAAGCTGCGAAGGAGCCACATTTCCAGCAGCGCATCTCAAGTTGCTTCGAGAGGAAGTTAGGTAATCAGAGTAAACGGTGGTCAAGAAGGAAGCGCTTGTGACAAACTGCATGTTGTTCCAACGTTGTCTGAAGATCAAACCGCCTGGTGTCTTCTGAATGTTCCTGGAGCCTTTACCCAACAAGGAACACATAAAGAAATCAGCTTTCTGTTGATACTTCTGAAACACAGGCGTGTGACGTCCTGCTTTGCCTTGCATCAAGAACTGTCCACAACAAAATGGAAATAAACCGGTTTAGAATCAAACCAAGATTATTAAACCGGTTAACAACAAAATTCAAATTGGTAGTGTACTAAGTTAGTAACCTTGGCGACAAGGGTTTGAACACCAGCGTACTTAACGTCCCAGCCGAACTCGGTCATGGACCAACCAGTACCACCCATGGAGTCACCGTTACGACCCAAGTAGTCCAAGTAGTACTGGTTGTTGGAAGCTTGGTATAACCACGCTGCTGCCCATAGTAACTCATCCTGATCATCGAAATTAAGGGTCAGTTTCAGACATGAGATAGCAATTTTAAAGTCCTAAATCTAAGCCTCGCATTAGCTTACATTGTAACCACTGACGGATCCGTAGTATTTACGAGCGACGGTGATGCTGCTGTCATATTTTCCTCTGTATTTGTCCGCGAAGTCAAACAGCTGTAACAAAAAAATAAAAAAGGAAATTAAATTAGGATGGCAAAAACCGTAATAATACATAGAATACAAGGTTGTTTTAAATATTTTGCTGGGGAGTGGCGTTTCTTTTTTTAACAACATGCTGTGGAGTGGCGTTTGTTGAAGAATAAATGTAAATTGGTAAAGGTCGTTTACACAGCATGGGGCACCGACAGCCAAAGGCACATGCCAAGTGCTTTTTTAAAAGAACAAAAAAAAATAGAAACTTGTGATAAAACGGCTGAGATTTATACGCGTCACAACCCACAAAACCAAGAACCAGAAAACCACCAACTCTATTCATGGGATCTAACTCTTATCTTTTGCGGGTCCACTTACGGGATCAGCGACACGGTGCCGTTTAGAGTTTAGAATGTTAAAGTAGTTTTAGTATTTTTAGTTTTTAGTAAGGTCACTGTGCTGTGGTGCTAACAAAAAATGTAAGCCTACTGTCTTGAGATTGATTCTACACTGAAGAGAGTAGAATATCAAATTTGTTAAACTCCTCGTGATTGGTTACTGATATAATTATAGCAATTCTCAGAATATTTCCTTTTCAAGAATTTATATAATTATTGCAGTTAGAATGAAAAAAACAAATTTAATTTTCCGATCTGTCATTTTCATCGCTAAGTTACGCTGCTGATTTAACGCCTAACGTGCGCTGAAAATGACTTTTTTAAGTGACTTTCTACTCTTGTGCAATAATTATAGCGTGTCTGCAACTTCCCAACGTAACTGCCGGTAAATTAACATCACTACACTTTATACTAAAATGTGCATCCTAAAATACGCCGAAGAATAATAAAAAAAAAAGCTAACCTGATAAGCGTGAGTGAGCAGAAGCCTAGAGTAAGCAGGGTTAGACCGGCGGAAAACAATTGAAGCGGCGGCCATAGCAGCTGCTGTTTCTCCCGCTAGATCCGACCCGGGATTACTTGGATCTATCCTGTAAGCTTTCCTGTCCGTCGTCATTTCTTCAGGTCTCTGCCAACAGTAATGGTCGGTGTTTCCGTCTCCCACCTAAACGCATCCATAATATGCATTGAGAAATTTTGGTAAAATATAAATAAAATCTTGAGCATTACAAAATAATAAATACCTCGCCGTAAAGGACGTTGGGCTCAGGGTGGGCTTTGATGAAGTAATCAGTGCCCCATTTAATGGCATCTATGGAGTGCCCTAGCTCGCCGTTAGCAGCTAACTGATTGCCGTACTCAATGACGCTCCACGCCATCATCGTCACCGTGAAAGCCATCGGGAGTCCGAATTTCACATTATCTCCTGCGTCGTAATAACCTCCGACCAGATTCACCTGAGTTAAATAAAAAAACAAGATTTTAGTAATGAAACAGGAACAATGTCGTCTGAAAGAATAATAGATCTCTAGCTAGTTGTCGGAAATTATGTATAATTTAGCTCAACATCAGATACAAAACAGAGTTCCGACAAAAAAAAAAAAAATACAAAACAGAGTCTGACTCTCCAAAATTTAGGGTTTAACATCTGGTTTTTGGTGACTAAACGGAAGCATTGTTAACCTATTAAACCTAGAGATAGAGGAAGAGAGATGAGGCATACCCCGCTTGATTTGCCGTCGTTGAGACCGGAGTGAGAGCGCCAAGTGACTCTTTGGTTACGTGGGAGAACACCAGATCTCTGAGCTTCGAAGAAGAGAAGACTTTTGGAAAGAGCTTGGCCGTAGTCATGACCGGAGAAAGCTACCGGAAAAGAGAGAAGCAGTAACAGAGAAGCCACAGACGCAAATTTCTCCATAGCTTCACCAAAGAAAGAGAAGAGAAATGCAGGTAGAGATTATATCAGCTTAAAAGCGCTGAATAATAAGGCAGAGCAGAGACTGAGAAAGGGAAGACGAAGGACTGTGAAGATGAAGGGACGAGCTGAAGTGTTGTATATATGGAAGGAAGGTGGAGGAAGCAGGAAGGTACCAATAGACAGAAAATTTTGACAGTTAGCTTTCATTTAATGATTTATTTATTTTCCTTTTTATTAGTATTAATTACACAATGCTTGATTTTATTTTATTACTACTACTTTATTGAGTTTAATTAGTACCGGTTTTTAATTCTTGTTTAATGTGTTGTCGGTCGAAATTTTGAAATGTACATGAGCTTTGTATACGTTACGACAATGATTTTCTTAGCATTTTTGTAAATTAATCTGGAGGAAAAATGTGTCGTCTTCTTCTGCATTAACTATAAATTAATTGCAAAACAATTTACTAACGTCATTGAATATTTTTACATTTTTTTGCAAAAGAATAAGTTAGCATTAAAAATGTTAGAAGAAATGAGAAGAAACAAAGTCATGTGAGTGTGTTCCCATGAATCTTTAGGTCTCTTTTCACATAGGGACGGCGAGGTTGTAAATTAATGTGTTTACATTCACATAAAGTACTACGACCACTAAATAACTTTGTTTTTAGTATAGATGTTATTTGGCTAATTTGAGTTAGCGTATTTGCTATTATTATCAAGGCGTTATAAGATAAGT